ATTATAGCACTCCAGGTTTTATGAAGCTTGTCTTAGCGTTAAAATATTAGTAGATTCATTTTGAAAAGTATTGCAACAGTATAATTTTTTTATACATTCTATCTTAGTCCTCTGAGATGATAATACAACTTATTTACAAACCTCAACTATTTTCGTTTTCAATGTGTGAATTTAACATAATGAGAAGTGTCTGTTAATGTCACATTAATGTTTGTAAGAATTTATTTTGTTACAAATGAAATGGTTTACAATAAAAAAAATAAGCCCGTAGAACAAAATTATATCTGAAACCGAGATATTTCACAAATTCTTTTGGGATTAAGCTAACATTAAAGAAATAAAGCGGTTCTAAATAATGAGTCAAATTATTTCCGTTACCCTTTTCAAAGAAAAATAATTTGCTGATTTTCAAAGGCAGGTATTATCTTGCTCAGATCAATTGAACAACGAGTTATTCGTACAATCTTTCTTTGATTTTTCCATAGCATTCTTAATTCCTTTGATACTTTAAATAATTCGAGAACTCTAGTTAGGTTTTTATTGCAAAGAAAAATATATATTTAGAAATTCATAATATGGGCTATTTTAAGACCATTCATTTATTATTGATTCCTCTGCTATAAAAATCTTTGGACCCGTCCCCAGGACGAATACTTTTTTCTTAGTTTAGTTTTTATTACTTTTAGGGTATTTATTAGTTTTGATATATGGTTAAGTTTACATTTTGTAATATTAGAAAAATTAAATTGAGAATAGAAACATTATTTATGTCATAAAAACTTACGAAACATACGTAAAATGAACATCAATAACGTTCCAATACGAATGCTTAACTGCCCGTAAGTACCGCTGCCGTTTGGTCCTTCTTTCATCAATTTCCAATACAAGTGCTTTGAACTGTAAGCTTTTGAAGATTGGGTATTTAGGAGAAATGGGATAAGATATTACCTTTTAAGAAGAAAGTAATGTAACGGTGTAAACATAATATACACATCAACACAATTTAGAGATATTTTAGTTACTCATTTATTGAAAAGAACCCATAGATTATTTCTAAAATCCGAAATGGTCTACGAGCATGAAGGTTGACTTCTTGATTTTTTCTTCTCGCAGTTTGATCGCTCCCAAGGATCCGGTTTTATTAACGTTATGGATGCAAGTGGCACAGGACCGTGCTTTGTGGCATTACTTGGGCAAGGCCAAGCAGTAGACATGTGGTGGGGACTAGTTATAAGTAAAATCTTTACAAAATTTCTGAGATGAACTCATTACATAGTTCAAAATAAGTATGTACTAATAATTGACAGTTTTAAAAAGCCTTATAAGGCACTAGCTATGCATTTAGAAGTAGACGTGGTAGAGCCATGCTGCAGCTATATTAGTAGTTTAGTTGTAGCACGAATGGGTCGGCTCGACCGGGGAAGGACCACGCTCTCACAGAATACCAGCGTAAAATAGCAGCTTAACACTGCTGTGTTTCGTATGGTGAGTGTAGAGAACCAGAGACCCTTTTTACTGGAAAGGGGGCATTCCATCTTAGGCCTTTCGGGTGACAACGCATCTGCATTTTGTTTCGCAAACGAGGATAAATGTAGATGTCTATGGGCCACAGCAACCACTTACCATCAGGTGGGCTGTGTGCTCGTTTGTCACCCTATCCTTTAAAAAAAGTAGAGCTGCGTGCGCAAGTTTGATTCAAGTCTGAATATTATTCCATGTGTAATTTATATATGTAAAACCTTACCTCTCTTTAGTCAGTAGAGGGTTATAGATTTATACGGCTGATTTTTCTAGTAAAAAAGATTAAAATGAGACTAAGATTTGCTAAAAACTTACATCTGACTTAAAAGGTGATAATATATCAAACATGATAGCATAAAATTAAACAAGTGTATTGTAACGCTATAAGAGTTATTGAATCAGAGTAGTTCATGGCATATGATATATTACAACTACAGCAGTTATGACAGATGATAGATCAAGTTGCAAGCTAGCGTATTGTATTGTTTCTTAAAAATAAAGTAATAACTTTTCTGGATTTAGTAATCAGTTGTGTTAGGCTTCGAATGTATAATGTTTTTCTTAATTTAAGTGTTTATGAACAGTAATAAAAAGAAACGATGTCCCAAATAACTATATAATTAAAAAAATCATCTAATAATGAAAATTCTTGGTAAAATTATTATAAATATAGTACTATAATTTGTGTAATCTCATTTTGTGGTTGTATTCTTAAGAGTGGGTATTGAGCCAAAAAATTTTGCGTATTTACCCTCGCGTCCCGCACGGAGACCGCGGCGCTGTAGCACAGCGGATTGCGGAGATACAACCATAACTTGCTCGGGGTCAATGAGTGGTCAAGATGATCGCGACGGCAAAACATACCATTTCATTCTTTATTCTTCTAATCATCTTTGCAAGCTCTATGATGTGTGTAGGGAAGATCAGGGATGGTTGATTATAGGGGCAGGTTGACTTACTGTCAAAAACTCGACCTACTCGGTGTTGCCTCATCCAATTAGGCGCGAAAAACCGTTTTCTACCCCCGCTCAGGTACCGAAAGAGCGGAATCGTCTACGCACGTCGTTTGGGTGAAGGAGCTTAATATCCAAAAACAAACCATTGTAAGTAATTGTTTACCTCCTAATATATTTTGTAGTAACGCCTATATACTCGTTGTCATTTACTTTCAAGTAATTTAAATTAAAGTTTGATTGATAATCTTTTTATTACGTATCATTATTTTTTATTTCGCCACAGTTTTTAGGCTATACCATGTGGCTAAAAATTAAAAAGCGATCCGGGGCTGGTATACTAATTTATTTTGGGGCTGGTTGACTACCTAGTCAACCTACCCCATAGTAGTCTGGGTATACTTTACATGGAATAAAGTCAGTTTTCATTTTAATTTATCGAATGTTTGTTGTTGCAGAACCATGCGAACGTACAAAAAAAAGACTGATCGAGGAAGTACACCCAAAGATGTCTTCGATAGAGCATCTCAATAAGTTATTTTTGATAAAAGTAAGTATTAATTCTACAGCAAAAGAATTTGCTATACTGTTTAAAAAACCCAACGCCACGCGGTAAAAAATAAGAAAATGTTAGAAAGTAAACCGGCATTGACAAGATGTAAATTCACTTTGGATAGCGCTGGCTGCACTAAAAATAGACAAATATTTAGTGATGAGAAAGAACTCGCATTAGAAAATTACCGCAAGAGGGCAGCAAATATTTATTACGGATTTACTCCTTATAAAACTAGAAAGTTTGTACTATTTATACAGACAGACTAACAAGCGTAAGAGAAAAGGAAGAGGAAAAAAGAATTTCATGGGACAAATTAGAAGAATAGTGACGAAGAAGACAAAAGTGATGAGGAAGACACATTTTGTTTAGAGTGCACTGAATGTAACATTTTGAATATTTCTGAAGAAACATGGATTCAGTACACTATGTGCAAGTTATGGACCCCATGCAAATCACTGTAAAATGATATATTATAATATTAATAGATTATATTATAAAAATATTTTGTTCCATTAATGCCAAAATTGCACCTCTGATTTAGAAGACTGATTAGACAATCCAAAAAATGTGATCTATTGAGTTAAAAATATATAAAGCCCAAACTCGGCACATCTAGTTCTCCTGGTCGAGGAGTTCCAGTAGCAGATACCGACACACCTTCAGGTCTATAAAGTCCAAGACGTATATATATATATATATATATATATATATATATATATATATATATATTTACTTATATATAAATCCTGAGTGCTTTTAGCGAAACAAAATATTATTATAAAAATCTGTAATTTTATTATTTGTATTTGTGAAAATAATATCTTTCCTTGGTCAAGTATGTATCAAATATGGTTTTTGAATATTTTGCATTTCTACGGCGATCGATATTTTTCAGCACGAGCCGCTGTAAAAAACGACCACTCACGACGGAATTTGAGGCCGGAGTAAATTAAGTACTCTGTGGATATGGCTCAGAGTGCGGCTTAGGTCTATTTAGTAAAATAAATTAATAAAAGGCTGCCAAAACCACCGAAAATTTCGTCATTTCTTAGCCGATAAAAATTAATTATAACTAAACAATACAAAATTAAACTGCCATTTACATTCAATGGCTTCCCATATGATAGATGAAGAGTTTGAAAATAGATTGAGTTGAACAATGCTACCCGTATACCAGTAATATAGCTGCAGCATGGCTCGGACAGATAAAAAAAATGAAGACAATGATTCACGTGAAATTAAATAACTACTCGGTGATGAAATACTGGTAACAACAAAAAGCATAACTCATTATTTTTTTATTTTTTTTTAAATTATAAATATTTGAATAATAGATATTGCTTAATAATTATCAATATTTCAAATTACGCATTTTATGTAACGGAACATATGTATATTATTATAGTTGAGAAGTCGGTTATGGTTTGCAAAATTATGTAACGAATTTGAATCGTCTCCTTAATAAAATACTGTAAAATACTGTGGGGTGCGGTTGGTGCACGGTCGATGATGCAATGAGACCCTGCAGTTCCTCCGCAGAGCTGCCGTGTTCTATAATTGGGTAAAATTAGTATCTACTTATAATATGGTTATCTTATATATCACTAATTTCTGGAAGTAGAAGTAGATTAGATACAAACATCACGACCCGATAAATTTTATGTGTTCATTAGAAGTTCAATATTGTTGCAAAAATATAAATACATACCTACTTGTCTCTATAACTGTATTTATTTAAGCAAGGTTTAGAACGGTACCCAATAACCATATATTTATCATAAATAATCTGATCATCATCATTCATCATCATCATTACAGCCCTTCACAAGTCCACTGCTGAACATAGGCCTCCCCCAAAGAATGCCACGAAACACGGTCCTGAGCCACCTGCATCCATCGACTTCCTGCATGTCTTACCAGGTCGTCACTCCATCTCGTGGGGGGACACCCTACACTTCGCCTACCGGTACGAGGCTGCCACTCGAGAACCTTTCTTCCCCATCGGTTGTCGGTTCTTCGAGCTATATGGCCGGCCCACTGCCACTTCAGCTTACTAATCCGTTGGGCTATGTCGGTCACTCTGGTTCTACTGCGGATATCCTCATTCCTAAGTTTATCACGCAGAGAAACTCCGAGCATAGCCCTCTCCATAGCTCGCTGAGCGACCTTGAGCTTCCTCATACGGCCAGCAGTGAAAGACCACGTCTCAGTTCCGTAAGTCATCACTGGCAACACGCACTGGTTGTACAATTTCGTTTTAAGGTTTTGAGGTATGTCTGACGAGAAGATGTGTCGTAGCTTCCCGAACGCTGCCCAGCCGAGTTGAATCCGTCGATTGACCTCTCGGTCGAAGTTGGACTTACCCAGTCGGACTATTTGTCCCAGGTAAACATACTCGTCAACAACTTCGAGCTTAGTGTTCCCAACAACTATCGGCATAGGTGTGACATGGACATTAAACATGATCTTAGTTTTGTCCATGTTCATCTTAAGACCTATCCGTTGGGAAACACTATTGAGGTCATTGAGCATAGTGCTTAGGTCCTCCAGCGATTCTGCCATAAGGACTATATCGTCGGTAATAATCTGATATCTACGCAAAATATGGATGTCATTCTGTCAGAATTTTGAATACGGTGACAATTTAAAAAATATATAATGCTACGGACAGTTCATTAGATTATATAGTGTCGCAAGTGTATCCAACAAAAACACCGAGTCATCCGAACGTACCCTAACTTAATACAATGCTTATTTTTTAAGATCGGAAGTGGGTAAGGACGACAATTTGACCACCAATAAAGCTAAAATTATTCCAAGGTAACCTAAAAATATGTACTGTAACCTAGACTGACGATAAGATATGCGGGGTATTGTTCATTATTAATCTCTTTCATCATGGCTTTGGAGAAGTTATTTAAAAAACTATTGGTAAATCCAATTGTGCATGCGCATCAAAAAATTACGTATAACATGATTATAGGGAATTTTTTAAAAGAAGTTTAAATACACACAAGTTTTCACTAATAAAATTACTATTATACTTCCAATTTTCAAATAATTTTATGTCAAACTTCAATTTAAAAAAAAGTTTGGAAAATCCAAAAGTGCACGACTCATAATGCTCATATGATCATCATAATATTATCATACAGGTAACTCCATAAAGTCCAAGACGTATTTAAATATAAATTTACTTAAATATATACCTCCTACTTAATTTTAGTACTTACTACTATTATTTATTCTGTACTTTTAAAATATTGTAATAAAAATATCTAATTATTATAATAATCAAGTATGTATGAAATTTGGTTTTTGGAATATTTTGTATTTGTACAGCGATCATTTTGAGCCGATTGCAAACAACCAATATAGTATCCATTCACAACGGCGGTAGACGCTATTCCTGGTATATAGTGTATTATCTATGGACGCCAAACTGAGTCAGTCAGTCAGACTGCCGCAGTCTATTTACAAAAAATAAATTAATACAAGGCTGCTAAATACCGAAAATTTCGACATTTCGTAGTCGAAAAAAATTAGTTATAACTAAACAAAACAAAATTAAACTGCCATTTACATTCCATGGCTTCCCACATGATAGATGAAGAGATTAATTGTTTAACGCAATCTATTATGATTGCGTTAAACAATTAATATTTTCAAAAGTTATCGTGTTTACCACTCCATGCGGACTTGATAAATCTATACCATAAGCCACTAAAACCACTTTTTTATGTAAAAATAGCAATTAAAAATATTAATAAGTTCAACAATCATTTATCTTTCTGACGATGTGCTTTTTATATCATTTATATGTTCAATATGATTGTTAGATACGATTTTATGCGACGAAACGTTGGAATCTTGACTTTTAGGCGCTACTAGAACATACCTACGCGCTTTGCGCTAGGTATGCCATATAAAATATTTAAAAATTATAACACTGTCTATGTTGAAAACCAACGCATAATTAATTCAAATCGTACTTCGATGCAGTCATAATATTTTACGCGCCAATTTCAAAATGCTATACATGGAAACATGGATATAATCGTAATACCAAAAGGGTTAATATTACCTATTAAATGTAATACTTATGTTTTAACAGTAAAGGAATGTGAATTAGGTTGATTACTTCAAGTAACTACACTATAGGATTTAAGCTAAAGGAAAACCGCAATGACAATTATTTTTAATGAGACTATTAGAAATAACATTAAAAGAGCATGAAGGGTTATAACTTCTTTCACATTAACGAAATGTATGTTCTTATTTAAATTTAGTTGATTTTTGTTACCATGTAGTGGTCGTGTCACCCCATCTCGATCGAAGTCGACTCAGAATTAGGTCTACACAATAAATTTATTATGACAAACAGGTGGTTTATGACTTTTCATCGCTCCAAAGCTCTATTAGTCATATATATATATTTATATATATTAAGACTATTCGTAGAGTCTAAAAGATAGCAAAAGAGCTACATAAATACTGTCCACTTCTGTATCTTCAAATGATTCGCTGAAAATTTATTTGTGATTATTTATAAAGAGTTTGAAGGATATTTTGTAATGAATCAAGTGTTCATTGTGTAGTTAAGTATCGAATGATATTTCTTAGTAGACGCTAATTTTCTCTCTAGAGATTTGCGAGTCAAACGAGTTTACAAATGAACGTAATAATAATTATAAAATATAAAAAAGTAAGCTTAAAATAATAGCAAGCGTAAAAAATCCAACTGCAAGTAACTAAAAGTAATAAAATAATTTACACACTTCTGAAGTCGCGGCTTTAATTCTTCGATACAATTTATTTTAGCACCAGCTTCTGTAATAGCTCTAAAATGTTTTTTTTTTTCAATTTGGTAATGTAAAACTAAAATCTGGAGATTGTATTCAAATACCTATAATATCAAGAAACCAAATAAAGATAAAACCTAAATTATGTAGTTATTATATAGAAATGTCTGCCATATCTGCTTCTTAAGATGCTAAAAGGCTTTGATGATAAATACTGTCTATTTTTCAAGTTTAAGAGCCTTTGACACAAAAGGATGAATGAAAAAAAATAGTTGTGAGCAGGCATTCGCAATATAAGTTTATCAGCTATTCTGGAAAGATCTTTATCTGCGCCCATGAACGATGTATGGTAACTAAATATCGCCCAAAATGTCGCTTGGTAATTATTGCCTTTCAAGCGTCGATATGTTTCATATTTTTAAACAAAATTAATGATTTTATGACCACTTTTCATGATAACGACTTTACAATGTTAAATTAAGAAATTTATGTTTCAAATGGCTATTAAGTGTATGTATTATAACTTTTTCTGCATCACACAATTGTTCGTTTGAATCACCGTTAGAAGCATAAGAAAACCTATCATCCTACTACGTCACGTGGTTATCATAAGAGGCGACTATGGTAATGCTAAAAACCCGTGACTTTCCATTCGTGCAATGGCAAGACATCTGGTACTACAATCAGCAATCTGACCGGCAAGTGTGGCGATTATGTCAAATTGTAGCTACAACATTAAGAATCACGGCTAATTTTTACAAAAGATAAGTTGGTATGGATGGTTTTATCAAGTCGTTTCCTAATTACAATGCAAGTATTATATATATATATATATATATATATATATATATATATATATATATGTATGTATGTATATGTATTTGTTGAACGTTCATAAGTTTTGTTTCTTTGAATAATTTTAAAAGGTGGTGTTATATACGGATAGTGAAAAAGGATTTTTATTAATTCATTTTGTATCCTTTGAAGTTTCTGTAATTTAGTTTTAGCAGCGTTGCCCCAAATTTCTATACGATAAAATAAATGTGATTTTTGACTAATGGGTTATAAAAAGTGTACCATATTTTTATGTAGGTATATTGTGAACTGATCCTGTAAGTGCCGAACGTTTATTTTTAATGAGATCTATTTGCTTATTCCATGTTAAGTAGTTGTCCATTCTCAAGCCTAGGTATTATTCGCAGGCTTTTTGTTCTAAGGGGGTGTTATCAATTGTCAATGGGTCATGTAATGGTAAAATTTTGTTCTTTGCTTTATAAATAGTGGCTTTTGATAGATGGCGGTATAACCATCGTGTTAAGTTACCCACAACAGTCGGATGGTGCAAGATATCTGGTACTGTGATCGCCAATCTGCCTATCAAACGAGACGATCATGAGAAACTCCCTATGAAAAGATCTCTACAAGAAGAAAAAGATTTATAGTTAGCAATCTCATCCTACTGCAAAAACTATATTTGTGTCTATTTTTATAGGATAAGGATGACAAACAAGCACACAGTCCACCTGATGGTAAGTGGTTGCTGTGGCCCATAGACATCTCCATCTATCCTCTATTACGAATCAAAGTGCAAATGCGTTGTCACCCGTGAGGAAGATGAAATGGTTTGTTTCCAGTAAAAAGGGTCATCGGTTCTCTACGCTCACCATACGGAACACTGCAGCGTTAATCTGCTATTTGACGCTGGTATTTTGTGAGAGCGTGGTCCTTCCCCGGTCGAGCCGACCCATTCGTGCTACAACTATACCAGTAATATAGCTGCAGCATGGTTCTACCACGTAAAATTCTTATAAAATTATATGTATAAGTTTCGATGGAAGTAAGAGTTATTTTTAGATATCCTAAGTATATGAGATTGGCTCGCATGCGCTTATACTACAACTGTGGAACATTACACACTAAGCACCGGGGTCGTTAACATATAGAAGAAGTTTCCTCAAAACGTGGTTAATGCTTCCCCTGTGAATAGATTTATAATAAACGGAACATTTTTTATAGAATATGGGTGGCAAACGAGCACACAGTCTAGGTAATGGTAAGTGGATGCTGAAGCCCATTGACATCTGCATTTATCCTTAAGATTGAACATGCAGATGCGTTGTTACCCCTGAGGACTAAGATGGAATGCCTACTTTCGAGTAAAAAGGGTCTCCGGTCTCGGTACACTCACCATATGAAAGACCGTAGCATCAAGCTGCTATTTTACGCTGGTATTCTGTGAGAGCGTGGTCGCACCCTGGTCGAGCCCACCCATTCATGCTACAACCATAATACAGCTGCATCGTGGCTATACCACGTAAAATAGTGCAAATAACATCCAACTTAGTGTAGTCTTAGTATGAACTTGAACTATTATATATTTATATATATTCTATTTATACACCAACACAGGTATAGGAATATCTCAAGCACCTCGCTAATAACTACATATTTTCTGTTATTGTACATACTATTAATACATACATAATTAGTGTTCCAGCTTACCACTCTAAATAAGACTACATACTACATACTAGTGAAGTTATGGATTCGAACCCACGACTTTTTAGTTCTGTAGTCCATACTCTTAAGTAAGGCTTTTGTGACTCTAACAGTCGTACATTTTTTTTAGTATCTCAAATTCTTACACGTGTTTAATGGTTTATGATATAATTCACACAT